TTACAAAGTTTCCATATTTATAGGAGAATATGATAGCAGAGCAAGAGATCGATATTGGTCCACAAAACATAATCCGTAAGAAAAACACCGAACGAGAACAGATTTCATAAAATTTTAGTAAATCCAAAAAAAGGATTCGTATAAAGTAAGCTTAATGAAACAATTTATAAAGCAAATATATATTTTTTAAAACCTGGAGACCAAAATATCATATGAAGTAATTTAAAATTTACAGCTGTGATTAATCCCCCTCTACACGACGAATGTTTTAAATTTATCTGTACACCGCGTTGCAGATTATACGAGCCCTAACAACTATATGTTGGAACAAGCAATTATTTTGCGAATATAATGTAAATTTACAGAAATTCTTTTATTTAATTTTTTTTATTTGTAAATATGAAATTAACAACATTTTTTGGAACAACGTATGGAATTATTTTTGCGGTTTAATTAAATATTTTATATTTATTACTATTTAATTGAATGTTTAATAATCGAAAACTACTGACAACTAAATATGGGAACAAGTAGTGATTGCACAAGACCAAGACGACCTCAGCTACATGATAAAGAAACTACAAGAAGAATATACCAAGGCTGGCCTAGACATTAACCTCGCGAAAACAAAGTACCTATCTACAAGTGAAAAAGACATAGAAGATCTACAGATTGATGACAATGTAAAAAATCAAAGGAAAGGATAAATTCAAATGACGAAATAAAGCAAAGAACATCAATAGAAACAGACATACTAACATATATAGAACAAAAAAGACTAAAGTAGTATGGACATGGACACTTGAGGAATCTAGGGGTCAGAAATTGGAAAGCCAAGGCGAAAGATAGGGGGAATGGAGACTAATTCTTGAACAGGGCAAGACCCACCCAGGGTTGTAGAGCCAAAGATGATGATAATGGTATGGACATGTAAGAAGAACTAGCGCCAGCAGATGGATAAAAAGAATAACCTAATGGAGCCCCATAGGAAGGAGGAAAAGAGGACGACCCCGAAAATCCTGTAGGAACGAAGTAGACGACACCATGAGTAATAGAGGCCTAAACGATTGAGAATGGGACAACCGTGACGACGCCATGAGTAAGAGAATCCTAACGATGGAGAATTGGACAACAGAGCACACGTTTCTTAAATTTTATCAGCCTGATGCAAAGAAGATTTTAGAAGAAAGAAACTCGCAAACATACGAGTAGGTAATGCGTTGTCAACAATAATTGTAACGCGTCATTGGAGTATGTATAATTAACAACCGTCAGTTTTATTACGAAGAAAATATAATAATGGTACGTGGAAAACCTACTGATCCAAAAGTGCAAGAAATTATTATTCATCTGTACCATAAAGGGAAAACAATGCGTGAAATTTACAGTGAATTGACTGTAGCAACAACTACTATGTCTAATATAATTAAGCTATATGGTGAAACTGCCGGTATGGATATTCGCGGCAAAAGCTCAGGTCATCAAAAAACTGTTTCTCAAAGGAGTGTAAGGCATTTAGTTAGAATATGTAAGTCGGGAAGAAGAAATACACTACGAGAAGTAACTGCTAGGTGCAATAGAGAAACTGGGATGAATGTTTTAAGGAGAATGCTGTCGCAAATATATCCACAAAAGCGGCCTTAGATTTTATAAAGTATGTATGATAGGATCTTCTTTACGATATAAATATTATATTTTGGGCTAAATCGTACATTTGGGCTAAATAAAAACTTTCGTGGACCAAACAAAATTGGAACAAAGCTATCTATAGCGACGAAAGAAAAATTAAAGGCAAATATCGAGCACAATTTTAATAATCAAATCTTGCCCAAGTACTTTCGCTTTCTACAGCATCATCAGGGGCATTTCGTCAAATTTGAGCTATCCAGCAAGCGCAGAATGTAATAAACATGAAATTGAACATAAATTGTACATAACACTATAATGAAACAAGGACTAACAGTTTAAAATTATTTTCAGGAATTATTTTCAGGAAACGTCATTCGAGAGAATCATTCTCTCTCCTGTTTCGACAAGAATGTAGAGCGTAGAATAATTTTTAATTAATTTTAAACTGTTAGTCCTTGTTTTAGTGTAGTGTTATCTACAATTTATGTTCAATTTCATGTTTATTACATTCTGCGCTTGCTGGATAGCCCAAATTTGACTAAATGTCCCTGATGATGCTGTAGAAAGCGAAAGTTTGGAGGCAAGATTTGAATTTTAAGTTCATTTATTTAAGCATTCAACCCGATTTCAATTAAAAGCAATTTTGATGTATGTGTGGGAGATAACCGAAAGCATGTGATTCGGGGAAAAACAGAAGCATTCCATGGATTGTCTCAAAGGAATAACAGCAGCAACAACTAAAAAATAGCGAGCAGGAGTGTGAAAAGAAAACGATTATATTAGCTGAAATACCTAAGGTATTATTGGTATGGTTGCAGCTAAAAAACTCGTCAAGAATCAGAAGTTATTTTTAAAGTTAAAGTGGTCATGATAATTCCCAACATTCGTAACAGAGGTGGGTCTGGAAGAAGAAGACTAGTACGAAGATATTAACCGACACCTACAAATATATTGAATTTAGTAGTATTTTATTACTAACATAGACATCGCATGTTTTAAGCAATTACAAATTGGTCAAAACGATATAAAAAAATTTCATTCGATCCCCTCTAACCATTGTATTTTTTAACTTTAATTACCGTCCTCATAACAGATATAATCGTCTTATCTTTAATCTTTAAACGGTAAACGATTCGATAAGTCCAAAACCAAAATCACGAATTCCTCATTAATATAATAATTGTTTCCTTTTTAAGAGCCGGCAGTTAGCAAAAAAGGTACAAAGTTTCGTATTTTATGAAAACCGATTCACCAATTTGGCAAGATCCAATTAAAATTTTAGCAAAACAAAATACAAAAAACTGCGAGAATCAATCTACAAGACGTAAGTTTTCGTTCACGTATCAGATTTAAAGAATTGGAATGTCGATATTACTAAAAAAAAAGGTTTTGAAAACTCTGCCTGTGCTTCAACTCATAGTAATATATTATTTCTGATTATTACTTTCATCCTCAAATTACACTTTAGTTATGAAAGCTTCCTTTAACAATTCTTTACTATCGATAAGATCAATCTATTTCACACACATATCGTAAATATTTCCACTTCGACGATAAGATGATGCAAGTTCTTAACTTGTATTTACATGGTATTTACTTTCCGTGTCCTGATCATCAGTCAAATATCATACTTAATATACTGCCGGGGTGTAAGGAATCGGACAGAACAACAGAAGACCTAAGATCCAAATGTCAACCTCACCTGCTCGAGTGGTTACCTACAAAATACCTGCTGCACCGTGCTAGAAAACGAGGCTCTTACGACCAAGTATGACCGAAATAATCCTATTAAAGCAAAAATATACCTGTCAACGATGATTTAGGAAATGTAATTCTCAATAACCTATAAATCCGCATTTCTTCTTTCTGGACTCTACAATTCTCAGTGCGCCTTGGGTGTGTTTACTATTTTCTTCCACTCTTGCCGGTTTTGTGCAGTAATCTCCCATTATTGCACCCCCAACCCATCTTACGTAGATCACTCGTTACTGCATCTTTTCATTTTTTTTGTTGGGCGACCAAATGACCTTGTGCCATCGGGCCTTTACCTTCATCATACGATCTCTCAGTACATGTCCTGCTCATAATATCAGATTTGCCTAAATCTATCGTACTATGTTTTCTTCTCCAGAAAGTGTTTGGAGTTCCCGGCTATGTCTTCGTCTCTACTCTCCTGTTATCTCGTCTCTACAAGGCATAAAGATCGTCCGGAGGATCTTCCGTTCTAAGACTAATAATTTTGTTGTTTCACGCTGATTCAGTATCCACGTCTCACTTCGATAGATTATTATGGGCAAATTACAGTTTTATATAACATTGTTTTAGATTTCTTTGAGAGAGAATTATTTGACAACTTCGACATTTATCGAAATGTTTTGTCTAATTCTTAGTTTTGGATTTTTGGTAATTAACTTGTACTTGGTCTTATATTCAATTACCTTAAGGCCTACTTCACTGGCTCCGCTTTCAAAAAGAGTAAAAACTTCTTTCCGAAGTTTCTTTAAAATCCGAATCCTACCGGCTTTCTAGGTACTCCCTTTTCTACCAATACCTTCCACAGTGTATTTTAATAAACCTTGATGCATTTTGTTTTGTTTTGGTTTTCTCTAAAATGTTCAAAGTCACAAAAAAATGTTGTGACTTTGAACATTTTTTTGCAAGAATTTTCAATTTTTCTGGTAAACTATCACGCAAGGGAACTTCTTTTTTAAAACCCTTATCGAATTTTATATTTCAGATTTGCCGTTCCAGAGATTAACTGTTCGCAACGGAGCAATACATTTTTGGACGAAAATTTTTGACGTCATCTTTAAAATACACGAACAATGAAAAAAACAATTTTATATTCTACAAAAGTTGTATAATAATAAAAAAATAGTTTGATTGCCATATATAATAGATAAAATACAAAAAAAATGTTGAAAGTGTGTCTTTGTTTGCATTCTAGACGCTAATAGTCCCTTAATTTCCTTATAAAACTGCCTAGACTGACCGGTTCTGTATTGTAATTTTATAGATATTGGTTTTTTCCTTCTCAACACTTATCTAGTTTGTGTTCTAATTCTATGATAAGCTCTATTTTTTCTCTCTCTATTCTCATCTATTGATCTTGTTAGTAGCTCCATTCTTGTGTTGGTTTTTAGCTTTAAACATTGTTCAGATGCCTGATCAAACCTGCTTTTTTCTAGTTTTTTCTCAATTCCCTATACATACTGTTCCTGCCGTTTCTATGGCTTCTCTCATATTTTGCCATTTCTGGTTTAATGTCAGCTCTGTATTGGGTATCTTTTCTTACAGCGTCGAAACCTATTTTGTATTTCCAATTGGTACTTCTGTTTTTTCTCATATAATTCGAGACTTTATCCCACTCGTTACTTTGTGAGTTCTGCTTTGTCCACTTTGTGCTTATCTTTATTCTCACCAAGAAGTGATCCGAGTACTTCTGCTCCTCTCATGCTAGGTGCGCTGATGATATCCATCAGCACTGGCGGGTGTAATAAGTATATGGCTAAAAAACTCCTAAGCACAAAATGAATAGAGAAAAGGATTTTACTATTAATTTTTGGTGATTAATTAACGGTGCAATATACATCAGTCAAGTCAATGTGAACCAAGTCAGTTCTTTTCCTAAACCAAGGAACAAGGTTCAGAATTTAGGTGTCGCAACACTTTCCAGCTCTAACTCCAGTTTGTTTTGGAACACATCTATAATTTGAACCTATATCGCCAAAAAAAAAAAACAGTAGCCAGTTGGCATATTGTAGTTTTTCCATTGCCTATATTACAAATCCTTGCAGCTTAAGCAGGTCTGCTATGTATAATTCTTGTTAATACTCTTGTACCAAGTTCACACTTAAAGTCTTTTAAAGTCAAAAAATTTTCGCACAAATATTGCAATTTGCATGACTTATGGGTTGCAATAATTAATCTGGTATAGCCCTAGAAGAACAGATACATTTTAGTGGCTTTTTGTGTTTTGGTTCTTGTGGTTTTCAAAGGGACCGATTGGCCTCGAAGACATTTTCACTGTGAGCTGTAAGATCAGAGAAGAATATCAGAGAAGAGCTGGGAATTAAATTAGATGATGATAATTAGAAAACGATAACAACGAGGAAAGCTGGGAAAGACTCACAAATAACCTAATTAACGCAGCAACAGAATCACATGGAGCGAGGAAAATAACGAACACTAACATATCAAAAAAGAAAACCCCATGGTTAATAGAGAAAGTGAAAGCTTTTTACAATACGGAACACAACAGGCATACAACTACTATAAATGAATCAGAAATGAAACGAATATTCTTGAATGAAAACTTCTCAAAACAGATGGAACAAGACTTCTACAGAATACAAAAAGAAATATGGAGAATGATCAGAGGACAAAGAAGAGATATGAAAGTACTTATAAAAACCAAACATAATCAAAAGGAAACATAGACACACTTCTTTAGATCCCTATTTGCTAAAGCTGACGATATTGAACCACCAACACCAGAGGTGACGACAAACGAAGAAATAAATATTAATGAAGAAGAGTTAAAGGAAGCGTTAAGGAAATTAAAAAACAGAAAATCACCAGGAGAGGACAGAATAACAAACGAACTCCTAAAGTACGGAAGACCAGATATGAGGCAAACAACTATTAAAAGTAATCCAAAAAATAATAAAACAAAACAGAATTCCTCAATGGAGATCAAGCATCCTAATACCTCTTTCCAAAAAGGGAGACAAATCGGACACGAAAAATTACAGAGGAATTAATTTATTAAACACAACACTAAAATTAACAATCAAAGTGATAACAAATAAAATAATTGAAATTATAATACTAACCGACGCTATATTTAAAATGAGGCAATTAAAGGACGTTGTCCACTTATTGTACGCAAGAGAGATACTTCTAGAAATAACTAAAGTGATCGAAAATATCTACCGAAACAAGTAGAAGAGCTAAATGACCCTATTGAAGGCAATGGGACAAGACAGGGAGATTCCCTGCGTCTCCAATTGTTTAACCTGATTTTGGATGAAATAATAAAAAAGTAAGAACTAAAAAAGGATACCAAATGGGGGAAAAACAACTTAAAATAATCTGATATGCAGACGACGCAATACTACTCTCTCAAACTAAAAATGATTTACAACGTATGATGCACCAATTTAATATAACCACCAGAAAATTTAACATGTTAATTTTTCCAAAAAAAAAAAAGACAAAATAATGGTTATAGCAACAAAACTAAGATGTAAATTGGAGCTGGAAGTTCAGTTTATAAAACAAGTGATGGAGTTTAAATATTTAGGTATTGTCTAGCTACGGAAAGCTTAACAGAAGTGGAAGATGAAGTGAATAGAGCCAACACACCCGCAGGTTGCCTGAATAAAAGAATATGGAGAAATTAAAATATCTGGAAAGAAATGAAGGGCATAATGTACAAAACAGTCATCAGACCAATAACATACGCGGTAGAAACACGACCTGTCACGAAGAGGACAAAAAGAAGCTTAGAAACAGCAGAGATGAACACACTTCTTGCTGGAGGCACGTTGAAAAACAGAGTCATGTCTACATAAAAAGAAGAAGAAGCCATTAAAATGTATTATATATATTTTACATCTATATTCAGTCCAAAAAATCTAAGAAAGTCTATGATTCGTTTAGGAGAGATATTTATTACTTGGTCAGGTTCTAAAAGACCTGTTCCAGGTACTTATGACGTTGGCGAACAATTGTCCTACGGTTGTAGACAATATATTCGGTAGTTTTTTCTGCATTTTCACAGCATTTACATATTGCTCTGTGTACTTTGAGATGATATCTGAGACAGCAATATCCAGTGAGAACACCCGTGATTACTCTGAGTTCGGTCTTTTAAGAGTATTTTTGTGTACCTAACAGAAGATTGCAATAACCTTTTTGCTTGTATTTTGTAAGTAGGTTATATTTGAGTTGATACAGTAGATATTCTCCATTATTCGGTTTTTTGTAAGCCGCAGAATGACCTTGGTCTGATAAGGACCAAGGCCATTCTCCATCTTTAGCAAGACTATCAGCAATCTCCTTACCAACAATTCCTTTATTCCCTGATCCCACCGCAAAGTTACTTTGTTGTGCCCCAACAGTTGCTTAAGAGACTGTTTAAAGTTCCAAACTCTCCAGCTTGAAATCTTGTAGGAGTATTTCCGAAGGATAGTCACTGATAGGTGTTATGACCAGTGGGCCTATTCTTACTTCTTGTGTTTCTGCCTATCATGTGATTTTTGCAATTTTCTTTGTGTTAACTCACTCTCGTTAACAAATTCTAAATATACTACACGTTGAAAATCTCGTGTTCTCCTAGTCTCTAGTGAGTCGGACGAAAGGAACATTAAAAAAACCAAATTAGAGTCAACAATATATTGAATCTACCCTGAAGTTACTAATACAATCGTTAACACGTTATTCTGCGCGTCGGGAGACGATGTAGCAAGATAGTGAAGAGTTGACAGTTGTACTAATATAATTACACAGGTTAGTATAAGAAATCTGTTACCTTATGTGTATATTAGGGCTTCAACCACGACACGTTCAGTCTTCTGGAACTCGGTCAGTTGAGGGTTGCGAACTTTCGAGCTGCCACAATAACCGGACTACACGCGATACTATGCCAGATGATACGCGTCCCCCGGAGAATCACCGACTGTCTCGCGTACTGTTCGCGTACTGGACGCTCCCGGAGGCAATTACTGCCTTGGGCAGGCACAGCTGCCCCGCTGCTACGGACCGCTTCCGCCGTATTACTACCACTGACCGACTGACTACTGACTACCAGTTTTTATCGAATGGTGTCCTCATTGACCGGTTATAGTCCAAGGTTGCTGAATTGTAGTCTTAGGCGTTATTACTCGTATTTGGGTCACGGGTGTTGTTGTTTTTTTTTTACAACAATAGTTTCGTGCTTTTTATACGTTTAAACAATTATCAAACAATGCCATAACTAGGTCAATTGTTATACTTTGTATAATTTAAATGTATAAGTTAACTGTATTAATTATCCCTTATTTAATTTGGAATATATAATAATTATCTCGAATAATTATTATCTTTTATATGCTACTTAGTCCTTTAATTCAACTTCTCACTCACTTGCTACGCTCACATTACATTACTCCCTACGCAAAAAAAAGAAAAGGGCCGAGGGGCCTTTTCCTTTTCCAACAATAAACTTATCCTATTTACATATTTATTACTTATATCCTACTATATATTTTTTATATATATATATATATATAAGTCCCAATTTATATGTTATCATTTACTGTTTCTTATAGACTATTGTACCGTGGTCAGCGAATGTATCGTGCTGCCCCCGTATTGAACCTATGTGTATGGCAAGTTGAGTTAATAGTGTAATAATCTTATGAGGCGACTCCGCTGTCACCACTGTAAATAGGAATGGGAGCGTTATGTGAAGGTAAGGAAACGCTGTCACCAAATGAAATACACAATAGATCCTCATGGGATGCTAACCCTGCGAGCGGCTGCAAGGAATACTGGTCACACTGGTCTGGAGGGCTGGCTCGTCTTCGTGGATTTACGAGAAGATAAGGGATTTCGGGATAGGGGTAAGGACTCCTAGGTCTCAGGTCCTGTAAAGAGCAGAGGTTATGGGCTTACTTTTGAAGCCGGAGATATGCATACGCAGAAATCTCGTGTTCTCCTAGTCTCTAGAGAGTCGGACGAAAGGAACATAAAAAAACTAATTTAGAGTCAACAATATATTGAATCTACCCTGAAGTTACAAATACAATCGTTAACACTTTATTCTGCGCGTCGGGAGATGATGAAGCAAGATAGTGAAGAGTTGACAGTTGTACTAATATAATTACAGAGGTTAGTATAAAGAAATCTGTTACCTTATGTGTATATCAGGGCTTTCAACCACGACACGTTCAGTCTTCTGGAACTCGGTCAGTTGAGGGTTGTGAACTTTCGAGCTGCCACAATAACCGGACTACACGCGATACTATGCCAGATGATACGCGTCCCCCGGAGAATCACCGACTGTCCGTACTGATCGCGTACGGGACGCTGTCGCGTCCCAGTCACGGTGGCCCGCTATTACTGACTGCCCATTACCAACTGCTCGTACCCGACGCTACCGCGTCGAGCGTACCCGGAGCAGGCAATTGGTGCCTGGACGCCCGCCGTATCACTACTACTGACTTCTAACTACTGACTTGGCTGTTCCAGTTTTCGAGTTTTTATCGAGCTCATGTTTTCAATACCGGTTATAGTGCCAAGGTCGTGTTTTCGTTGAATTGTGGGTCCTATATTGCATTACAATAACAGTTTTTTGTTTGACGTGCTTTTCTATGTTTAAACAATTAACAAACAATGCAATAACTAGGTCAATTTCTTTGTGTGATTTAAAATGCAAATTTTACTGTAATAATTATCCCTTATTTGATTTGGAATATATAATAATTATCTCGAATAATTATTATCTTTTTCTATGCTACTTCCTTTATGCCAAC